CCCAGCGCTGCCGCCCGCATGCGTCCCCCACGCTCATTTCGGCACACCCCTCACACGTTTCGTGGCCCCACAGGGAGCTCCACCGAAGGCCCCAGTGCTGCCGCCCGCATGCGTCCCCCACACTCATTTCGGCACACCCCTCACACGTTTCGTGGCCCCATAGGGAGCTCCACCGAAGGTCCCAGTGCTGCCGCCCGCATGCGCCCCCCACACCCATTTCGGCACACCCTTCACACGTTTCGTGGCCCCATAGGGAGCTCCACCGAAGGCCCCAGTGCTGCCGCCCGCACGTTTCGTGGCCCCACAGGGAGCTCCGCCTAAAGCACCAGTGCCGCCGCCCGCATGCGTCCTGCACGCTTCGGCGCACCCCTCACACGCTTCGTGGCTGTATAGGGAGCCCCACCGAAGGCTCAAGTGGCAGCGTCCGCCCGCGCGACTGCCAGCCATTTCGGCACACCCCTCACATGCTTCGTGGCCCCATAGGGAGCTCCACCGAAGGCCCCAGTGCTGCCGCCTGCACGTTTCGTGGCCCCACAGGGAGCTCCGCCGAAGGCCCCTGCAGTGCTGCCGCCCGCATGCGTCCTGCACACTTCGGCACGCCCCTCACACGTTTCGTGGCTGCATAGGGAGCCCCACCGAAGGCTCCAGCGGCAGCGTCCGCACGCGCTACTGCCAGCCATTTCGGCACACCACATCACACGTTTCTCGGCTTTACAGGAAGTTCTACCGAAGGCTCCAGTGGCAGCGCCCGCACGCGCGACTGCCACGCATTTCGGCGCACCCTCATACGTTTCGTTGCCCCATTGGGAGCTCCACCGAACGCTCCAGCGGCAGCGTCCGCATGAAGGAGGGGGAGTTTTCGCAAATACGGGCGGGTCGAGCGGGCGGGCGGGCCTGCTCGCTGACGCGCCTGCGCCCTGATGGGTGAGTGGATATTCTGTGCAAGAGGTGCATCTGGGTTCAGGATATGCCCAGCGTGTGCCAACGTAGTCACCCACGCTGGGCAAACCGAGAGAAGCGCCGGTTACGTCCCCAGCACGTCGTTGGACCTGAGCCGCATGAAGCAGCATACTGATGTCTCAGCGCGAACAGTGCTGAACGAGTTAGCGCGCTTGCATGGGGAATGGGTTGCAGGAAACATAACGAAGGCGAAGTTTGAGTCGACGTGTTACCATTACGGTTTCAATCGCGACCCCAACAACATTCTTCTCGACAGTTGCCTTCGTGTTGGCATCACGAGCATGATGCACGATTGGGTTCATATTTACCTTGTTTCAGGTTTGTTCAACACCGAACTGCAATTCCTTTTGATATCCATGTCGGTCAAGGGCATCTCTGTATCCGAACTGTGCAACTTCATGGCCCGATGGACGTGGCCTAAGAGAATGGCTTCCCCCGTTGGGACACTCAGCCCATCCAGAGTTGACCTGCAAGGTGACCACTTCAAGTGCGACGCGAACCAAGCCATGCACATGTACGGGGTTATTGCTGTTTTTTTTGAAAACGTATGTTCGGCCTGGTGTCATGGATGATCAGGTCGATAGTTTCGTGAAGCTCGCAAGCGTGCTCGACCTGTGCACCCAAGTGAAAGACGGGACTGTCGAACCAGATTGTCTCAAACGACGCGTACTAGTCCACTTAGCGTCGTTCATGCGGGTTTATGGAGAAGTCGGATGGGTACCCAAGCACCATTTATCTCTTCACCTGTACACGGAACTGCGGCGGTTTCAGACCCTTCTTGGTCTTTTGACACAGGAGCGGCGGCACAAGTTAGTGAAGCGTTGGACGAGAGACAGATACTCGTGCACGTCGTTCGAGCGAGGGCTCATTGAGGAAGTTACCTTGGAACACCTTCACCAGATGCAGTCGCATTGGTGTAAGCATGGCCTCTTGCAGGCTCACCCGCCAAAAGGTGCCCTCAAGCAGGCATTGCAGGCAGCGCACCCTGGTGCGGAACACATTCTCGTCGCATCAGTGGCCAAAGGGTGCAAGGGTAGCGCTGTTCATGCGGGAGACATTGCTCACTGCATGATTCGCGGCCACGTTCAGTTGGTTGAAGTTTGGTACCGCACGCCTAGCTGCTCCCGCGAAGAAGTGTCATGCCATCGTCGCGTGGATGATCCACAGCTGGTGCCTGTCAGCGGGTTGATTGCTGCGGTCACCTTTTTAACAGGTGATTCAGACTTAGTTTCAGTTCTCGTGCCGCCACACTTGAGGTGAGTTTGGCGCTCTATGGAGGCGGATGGGGAGGAGGGGGAGGAGGAGGGAGGAGGCAGGAGGAAGGTGGAAGGAGAAATGAGCAATGAAGAAGGAGGAAACCTAGGTGGAAGAGGGAGGAGACGGGGAGGAGTGGGCGGGATAAAGGGGGAGAGGGCGGAGGAGGAGAAGGACAAGACGGAGTTCGAGAATCATGATGATAATGATGATGATGATGATGATGATGCTGATGACGATGATTACGACGGGGGCTGTGAGAGGGAGGAGAAGGGGGAGGGGGAGGAGGAGGTAGCGAGGGGGGATATGTTCCCATGTTTCCCTGCGAAGGTTTTGGGTTTCATGGCGAAATTCTCCATTATCCGATGGCGGGCCCCATGGGTCAAAAACGATTTGGGAGTCCAAGAGAGCTGTTCAAGGATCCGCTGGGAATGTTATTCACCCTTTCCAATCTCATCCTCCTCGTCATCCTTCTCCTTCTCCTCTCTCTTCCGTGCCAGTTTGGCTCGCACCTAAACCAGATAACTGCGGTTGCGCAACCCAGCGAACCTTGGATGCAAAAGTATGGTTCTGAACTGGGTTACAATACTTTCAGAACTGGGATACATCCGCGCATCCGCATTTGCATCCGCAGAACTAACATCGCAACCGCCGTGGGCCACTCGGCGGGGGCCTCTGGGGACGTCTCAGGGGCCCCATCGGCGGTTTCCAGGGCCATGTTGGGGGGAAAAGCTCGAACTGTAAGTTCGCGTTGTCCTTTTTGGGGCCCTCTTGGGCCGTATTGCGGGGCTTCTTAGATTGTATTGGGGCCCTCTTCGGCCGTTTCGGGGGCCTCCTGGGCCGTCTCCCACTTGGGTCGTCTTCGGGCGATCTTTGGGACTTGGGCAGTCACGCGCGGTCGGAAGCTCGACATAACGAGAACGTTTAAATCGATCGAGTCTAAGAAAAATTAGGAGTTTTGGCGTCTGTGGCCCTTTGGGGGGCCATCAACGGGCTCTCGTGGGGCGTCTTGGAGGCCATTTGGGCAGTCCTGAGACCAGCATGGGCGTTCTGGAGCGGTCTTGGGCCGTGTCGGTGCTCCGCAAAACCGTCCGGGAAGCGATCTTATCTATCTATCTAGGAGAGGGGGGTCACCCGGGGTTTACCGTTATAAAAAAGGTCGAATATGAACATAGGTGTGTATATGTATATATGTATATCTACAAATATATGTATCGATGTATGCATGTGTGTCTACATATGTATATGTGTGTATGTACGTATGCACGTATGCATGTTTGTTTGTATGTATGCATGTACGTACGTACGTACGTATGTATGTATGTATGTATGTATGTATGTACATGTGTGTGTGTGTGTGTGTCCGTCTGTGTGTATCTATGTCTACATGGTTGCACGTATATTTGTGCGCACGTACATATAATAGCCGCACGAGGTTTGGAGAGCTTAATCCAAGACATCGGGCGAACAGTGTATTTCAACCGCGGCGTGGTGTATTTTATCTAGACCGCCCCAGGGCCGTTTTCGGGTCCCTGGGGCTGTCAAGAGTGGATCCAAGACGAAGAGCCTTCCCCGGGGCAGGGGTCGAAACCTCTGGGGCAGCGGACTGAAGAAAACAGATCGTTGGATGCTTGGGTACACAACCGCCACCTGGCTGCCACGCTTGTTTTGGCCTGGCACCTCTTTCACAGACGGGTTCGGAGATGTGTTCCCCCGTGGGCAGGACTTGCAGCGTGTAGTTTTTGAGCTATGCCCCCCATCGTCAAGTCCCAGTTTTGTTAACTACTCTCCCGCTGTCGTGCCTCATATGTATCTCACCTCATAGGGCCAAGTGTGGGACGTCAAAGAGAAGCGTGACATCTTGGATCCAGGAGACAACCACATTCGTGCTTCAGCCGCTAATTTGGAAAGACGATGAGCTGTCACAGTTACCATCACATCATCATGTCACGCATCGCTACCGTTAGTATTATGACGCCCCTGGCTTACTTCCTTGTTTTACTCCATGCCTTTCTCCGCGTGCTACAGTCAATCCAGGTTTTGCATTCGTTGCAGGAGGAGCTCGAGTTGGAGGAAGCGGACGAGGGAAGAGAATGAGCAGCAGGAGGAGGAGGAGGAGGAGGAGGAGGAGAAGGAGAGAGAAGAGGTAGAGGGAAAAAGAAAATAGGACACAGACCTCCGACGGAATGCGATTTTGAATCCAAAGGCCCCAAAGGTCTCGACCCTTTCTCCAAGGGCAGTTTTTCTCAGAGGCCCAGGAAACGGACCCTGGCGACCAGAATTGGGGAACAACGCCAGGGTTGAGCAAGTAGTTATGTTCTTCGGAGCTCTGGAGAGGAGGACGAGAAAGAGAGGAGGAGGAGGACGACGACGACGACGTTCTCGGACCAGTCCACCTTACGTTAGACACGCGCCACCGAGCTGCACCACAGGTGCCCCTGAGGTTTCCAGGGCCCTCAGGACATGTTGGTTACATCTAAACCTTGACCGTCGAGAGGAGGAGGAGGAGGAGGAGGAGAAAGAGGAGGAGGAGGAGGAGGAGCTGACGATAAGGCGGAGAAGGAGGAGGAGGAGGAGGAGGAGGAGGAGTGGGAGGAGGAGGAGTGGGAGGAGGAGGAGGAGGAGGAGGAGGAGGAGGAGGAGGGGGAGGAGGAGGAGGAGGAGGGGGAGGAGGAGGAGGAGGAGGAGAGCTGGGGGAGGAGGAGGAGGAGGAGGAGGAGGAGGAGGAGGAGGAGGAGGAGGAGGAGATGATGGACAGGGGCAGTGTGCGGACCAGCCAGTCTCAGGCTGGACGCAGGCCACCGAGCTGCACCACCGGTGCCTCGAGTCGTGGCAGCTCTTCAACCCTGGGTGGGACGTCCGCGCCATATCCCGCGCGGACATCCCGGGCCTCCTCGGCGATCTGTTGCCAGAGTATTCTTCAGACGAGGAGGAGGAGCATCGAGGATGAGGGTGCGGAGCTCCACAACTTCTCCTTGAATTCATCCCTGTCCCGCCCCCAGGCTTGTCGATAAGGCCGGCTTGGCATTTCGCCTGAGGCTTCCTCACGGCCTATGACTTTGAATCTTGCAATCAGCAAAATCTTCAGGAATGGCGGGGGTCGTTGTCAACATTGGGGATCTCGCCTGAGCGCCGCGCGCATTCGTATGTACCCAAAGATATCCATTCATCTAGGGATCGAGCAAATATGGTTTTCATTCTGTGCTTCTCGCCTCAGCGCCGTGCGCATGTTTCGTAACAGTTTACAGCAGCATTAAGTATGGAGGGGGTGGTTTTCAAATTTCGGCGCCCGCCTATGCGCCGTTCGCATTCATTTTACATGTTTGCAACATCTTCAAGGATGGAGTCCGGTTCGGTCTCAAACTTGGGACCTCGCCTTAATGCCAGTCACATTATTTAACAAGCTCGCAACAGCTTCAAGAATGTTGGGGACTGTGGTTTTCATAATGGGGCTCTCGCCTTAGAGCCGCGTGCGTTCGTCCAACACAAAGATTACACCCCCGTGTGCCAACACGAAGGTGTATCCTCTTTCTCTGCCCGACGTGTATCGCCGTTTGGGCCCGTGCGCTCGGCCCATTTTGCGTAACGGTTGGGCGCAGATGCTGGCACTTGGGCCGTGCGCGGTCGACGCCGCGCGGCCGCGGGTCAGTAAGGTGCTTCGATTTCCTCGGCCCGCGCCTTCCGCTCCAGGCACACGAGCTAGAGTTCGAGGGAACGCTCGGGCAGGTAGTGGCGGCCTCGGACTTCAGCGTGGAGGAGGCGCGGCTGCCGGTGAGGGGGTTCATGGACCAGGCGGTGGCCGAGGAGCCGGTGCAGAATCGGCCGAGGGCATTCCATGGTTGCCCTGGGCGGGCCATGCTGGAGGACGCCGTGGCGAGCTTCGTGGCGGCGGCCAGCCGAGGGGTGCCTGAGGCCCCGCCGCCGCCGGGGGCCCGCGCGATGGCGGAATCCCGCTTCGCGCGGAGGTGCCGCGCTACAGCGAACGAGAGCCGTCACGCGCTCGAAGCGCGAGAGCGGGCTCGATGGAAACCTCGCCTGATCGAGGAGATGGGAGCACCCTCGCTGGAGACGGCGCGGTCCTGCATGGACCGCGAACGAAAGACGGCATCACGGGCCGCACGCGCATCAACACGGTGAGGTCGCACGTGCCAGCCATGGAGACGATGCGCAGGTGGCTTTTGTGCGCGCGGTGTCCCGTGACCCGAGACCATCGTGCATTTCATCGATCACGTGCGGCAGTCACGCGCGCTCCAGGGTTGCCGAGCCGCGCGTGCGGGCGATTCCCAACCAGGCCCTGCGCGCCACTGTGTGGACCAAGCGCGCGGCGGGCGTGGACCTGAGCGACAGACTCCCCATTCGGCCCGAGGCCCAGCAGGTCGTCGCGATCGTGGAGATGCTCGTCGGTGTTGGCAAAGGCCCGACGACGAGGTCGGCACGGTTCACCAGCGCGCTCACTGGGGCCGTGGAGCGGCTGGTCATGGACGGGGGCCTCGCGAAGTGCCTGCGCGGGCTGGCGTGGTTCCGCCTCGCCAAGATGTGGGCGATGCCACGCTGCGACGACCGCAGCAGGCTCCCGCCGGAACGCCTCGCCTTCGCGAGCGGGGGGCTGACGGCCACGCCGGGGCGCGCGAAGCGGGGCACAAAATGCCAGAGCTTCCGCTAGTGCTATCCCGTGAATGCTACGCGTAGGGCCCCGCATGGATACAGACGGGCTTCGACTTGAAACCGCGGACTTCGAGAGGGACTACTTCTTGCCGCGGTGCGATGACGCTGGGCAGGAGGTGGTCCGCAGTCCCGCCCGGCGCGCAGAGGCGGCGGCAGCGGGCCAGGAGGTGCTCTGGAGGATGCTGAAGCCGGCGGCCTGCGCATGCGTGGATGTCGCGCTCCTTCTCCCCAAGGGCGTCGTGAATTCGGAACGGGCGACGACCCCCTCGGCCATGGCGGCGATGGGGGTCACGAAGAACGCGCGCGACAACCTGGGCAGGTGGTCGCCGAAAGGCGCGGCCCCCTACGCGAGGACACACCGCGCCGTCGTTTCTAAGATTCAGCCGCGGCCATTTCAACCTTGGCGAACTGGCTGGTGGCGGGGGGGATTTCTCGGACTTCGACGACGCGCCAGGCCCGAAGGAGCACGGCGTGGCCAGCCGGCGGTGACGGCGCCGCATCTCGGCTGAAATGGTGGCGGCATCCTCCAAGAACGAGGACGAAGGCTCGGGGGGTCCATGGAGCTCCTCGAGCGCGGCGGTGACCCTTCGGGACGGGGGCGCGCTGGCCCAGCGACGAGGCGGCCGAGGAAGGCGCCCCCCGCGCAACCCGACGGGACGGGGCCCCGCTCAGGCACGGGCCGCTTGCAGAGGGCGGCGCGCGGCAGCGGGTCCTATTCGATTTTTCGGGTCGGGGGCCCGCGGCCCGCGCGCCGACGCGGCGTCGGCCGCCGCGCCGGCGGGCCCCCCCGTCCGCCGCGCGCGGGGGGGGCCCTTCCTGGTCGGGGAGGGCATCGTCGCGCTGGGATGGGCCCGACGAACGGCGGGCGGGCAGCGCGTCGGGGCCGCGCCGCGCGCCGCCGTCGATCAGCCAGGCCGGGGGGGGGGGGGGGGGTTCGTCGCGCCACCCGCAACCAGTTAGCTCGAGCGACCTCGTTAGGTCAGGACAGAGGCCCGCCTGGTTGACGGCAGCCAATTCTGAGCGCCCTGCGCGACCTGGAGAGAGGGGCGGCATTCGCGCAGGAGGAGGAGGTGGAGGAGGAGGAGGAGGAGGAGGAGGAGGAGGAGGAGGAGGGCGAGGAGGAAGAGGAGGACAAGGCGCTCGCGCCGCTGAACTCGGATGCGCGCCTCCTCCTCGAGAAGGCGCGGGCGCCGCTGCACGCGCAGGGGCAACTTCCCCGCGACGAGCCTGGGCGAGCCTTCCTCTGTGATGGCCATAGTCCAGGGCGTCGAGGAGTTCGGCAAGAAGACGTTCGACGTGGATGCGACGGGCGAGGTGGGCCCGCGCGCGGAGGTCGCGGCGCCGGCGCGCGCGCGGCGAGCGACGCGCGCGCGGGTCAAATTGCGGGGGGGGGGGGGGGGGGGCGAAGCCGACGCGCGCCAGGCGGCCACGCCACGGGGCGCAACCGATCACGGGGCGACACGGCTGACCGTCGAGAAGGCAGATTGGCAGGTCGAGGAGGACCAGGCGCTGGCATATCTCATCTCGAAGCCAGGCGGGCGGAGATCGAGCGGGGCGACGCCCGGGCGGGGGCGCTTTCGGCGGCGCATTCAGCGGGGGGCCCCGACCACCCGGCGCCAGTTTGGCCCAGCTCGGGGCCGACGCAGCATCTCGCCGATGGGCTCGGGCGTCCTCATTCTCGGTCAGCACCGCGCGAATCAGCGGGAGTTGCCGGGCGAGAGTCCGCGGCAGTTCCAGTCGCACCTGGACTGCGTGCTCGGGGGGCCCGCGCGGCGTGGAACTTCGCGGCGAGGAGCGCGCGGGGCGACGTAGCTGCGCGCCCGCCGCTGACCCGGGCGCTGGAGCGCGAGCAAGGTCCCACGCGCGCACGGCGCGCCAGGAATGCGCGCCGTTCCACGCGGCACTCCAGCGGGCGATGGGCGCCACGGCGGTCAGTGGGACGCCGCTCCACGACGCCGCTGGCCCTCGCCAGCCCGGCAGCCCGCCGCCGGCCTCAGCCTTCAGCAGGCGCCGCGGCAGCGGGGGCTCTGCCCGCCGAGGCAGGGGCGGAGGGCCAGGCCGCGGGCGCTGCCGCGCCGACGCCAGACGGCAAGATGATCTGCTTCAGGTACATGGCTGCGCGACCTGGAGAAGCGACGCGGCCTCCGCGCGCGCTCGCTCTGCTTCGCGCGGGGCCACCCACGGCGCGGGCGCAGGGGGCCGGCTCGCGGGGCAGTCGCGCGGGGCGAGACGCCGCCACCGATCCCGGGCGCCCCGAGAGACGAGCGGCCGCCGCCGATGCCGACGGGCGCAATTGGCAGGCGGCGCCGACGCCGGAGCGACGGCGGCGGCGGCGAGGGAACAGGAGAGCGCCCCCCCCCCCCCGCTGCCGCCGCGAGCAGGCGCGGGCCCGGCGGCCCAGAGCAGCTGCGACCTCGCGCCGGGGCCCCGCGCAACCAGAGGGGATCTTGCAGCTACAGGACCCCCTCCGGCATTTTTGTTCCGCGCCGGCATTTAATGCCGCACCCGGGCGGCCCGGCATTTCTGAAATGCGATTTCGGGAAATGCCGCGCCCAGCGCGTCGATGAACCATTCGGGCTTCTTGGCAATTTAATTATGTTAAGAAGTTACCAAATCAATTCGTGGAGGCTCTGGCGGCATCACGGGCGGAGCTTTCCCCGTGCGAAGGATCCGGCGTCTTCGGCGCTGTGCCCCTTGCGAAACACATTGCAAAATTCGCGTATGGATGCCCCCGCGGCATCATGGGCGGAAGCTTCCGGCATTTTAAGCTTCCGCCCTCTTGGTCGCTGGATCCTTCTGTAGAAAACAATGCAAAGTCAATGTTTTGATGGCCCCGCGCGTCATGGGCGGGAGCTTCTGGCATTTTAAGCTCCCGCCCGCTTGGGCGCAGCTGGATCTTGTAAAAATCATACAATGTCAATGGTGTGATGCCCCGGCGGCGTCGCGGGCAGAAGCCTCTGGCACTTTGAGCTTCCGCCCTCTCGGGCGCTGAATCCCTGACATAGGAAGACAAAGTCAATGGATTGATGGGCGGAAGCTTCCAGCATTTTAAGCTTCCGCCCTCCTAGGCGCTGGGTCCCATGAAAAAACCAAATGGTTCATATTGTCACGGCGTGAAGATCGGTGTCTGGCATACTGTTGGAGCAGGCGTTGCAGAATGACGCGCCCGGCATTTCTCGCAAAACGTGGCACCCAGTTTTTCGTGGCCGCGCAGGATCCTGCAGGCAGGGCGGCCCGCGCCCTCCGCGGGGCGAAGCGAGCGAAGCGCGCGAGCCTGCGAGCTCGACAGCGAGATCTACTGCAGCGCCGTCGGCAAGTTCGGCATATCCAGCGCCGCGGAGAACTGCGGGCTAGGCTGCGAAGGGCCGGGCCGCGAGCCATATCTCGCCTGCCAGGGGGCGACTGGCCCGTGGAACAGCCCTCTTGCGCCGGCGACCTGGGGGCGATCGGGAACGGGGCGACGCGGGAGATTAGCCGCCATCTTGGCGGTCGCCCTGCTCGACGTCTTCGGTTGCGCGGCGCAGGAGGCCGAGGCGCGGGGCGGCCCCGGGGTGGATTGGATCGGCCTCCATTGCGACTAGACAGCTTACACCGTGCACCTCTCGGAGGCGAGGGCGGCTGGGGCGGCGGCCCCCCGTCGGGGGCGGCCGTGCGCGGCGCCGCCCGCGCGCGCGAGATCGCGTCAGGTTTGTGGCGCCTGGGTTTCGCGGAGATGGCGCTTGTCTGGGAGAGGCCGCCCCCGGGGCCCGACTGCGCCTGGCTCGCCAGCGTCGCGGGGGCCACGCGAAGAGAAGCTCCCGGGCTGGAGGCGCCCGTGAAAAAACAAGACAGAGCGCCGGCACTTCCGCTTGGTTGCGAACGCGGAGAGAGGGCGCCGTCGGATAAGCGATTGGGAAGCGCCGCCGGACGGCGGCCCGCGAGGCGTTCGCTGGCGCGCGCTGGAAGTAGAGAAGGAATGGCCCCCCTGGGACTTGGGCCAGGGCAGTCTGCCTGAACAGACCCATTGCGGCGCCGTTGCTCCCCGGCACGATCCCATGCGCGAAGCCGTTCTGAAGGCCCCGGGAGCAACGCCAGAGGGCGAACCTCGAGATGGCGAGATCGACGGACAAACCAGGGGGCGCCTGCTCAGGGGCGTGGCCACGTCGACCATGCGGCCTTTGACGGTCCTCCGCGCCGAGCTTTCGGAGGAGCCCGGGCCGCGCGAGACGGCGCTGATATTGGAATGGTCACCGCGGGGGGCGGACACTTATAAGGGGGCGGGCGAATTCAGCTACGTCGCGACGGCGGATTTCGACGACCCCCTCAGGATTCACGCGGCGGCCGCGGACATATATGGTAGCGCGCGCTCGGCGAGATTGCATGAGCCTCCCAGGATCTCGACGGGTCGATCGTCGAGGAGAAGGCGGTCGCCTCGGGCGCGGCGCCCGCGGCCGGGCGCGGCCGCGGGGGCCTTGGACGACGCGCGCGCCTTAGGCCGCGGCGACAGCCCCGCTCAGCGCGTCTCGGACGATGTCGCGCGGGCTGAGCTGCACACGGCCCCGGCGGCGCGCGGGGCCCCGCGCGACCCATCGGGGGGGGGGCCCGCCAGCGAGGACTTATGGCGCGCCTACGGGATAGTCTTATACCCTCACCATCACGTGGGCGCCGCCGCGGAGGGCGCCTTTTCCCCCCCCTGCCCCCCCCCCTTTCCGCCGCGGCGGCGGGGGGTCCAGGGCGTTTCTTTTGTTGTTCCAAATGCCCGACGCCGGTGGCCATTTGAGCTCAGGCCGATCTTGCGTAGCCCACCTTCAACCACCCTGAGGCATCAAGTTCCTGGGAGTGTCTAAGGCCCTGCGTACAGGACCCCCGCATCCGCCACCCTTGCGAAAGACATCAAGGTCATCTCCGGCCCTTCGATTACCGCCATCGCACCGCTATTAGGGCTACTCGAAGAAACAACCCTTTACATTCATCGAACACAGGTTGTTTCAACATGCAGCTATCGTCTTTTAGCGCTGCGCGCATCCGTTCCAAAGTTCGCACCAGCATCAGAATTTTAGCGCGGATCATGTTCAAACATTGGATTTTCTATTGGCGCCGCGCACATTCATTATAGAAACTGGCATCTCTTTCAAATATGGACTTCCTCCGAATTAAGACCAAACGCCTGAACATATGCACTAGTTGCACGGATGGAGAGCGGCTCATTCTGAAAACATGGTTGTTGCTTGAAGCTCCTTGTGTTTCATGGCCAGATGGCAACTCCAGAGGTGCAGCTTGCACAACTGATGCACAGATCAGTATTGTCATGCCCCGAGTAGGCGCGCCTCAGCGATAGGTTTTTGTCTACGGGCCAGTGTGTGCCAAGCCTGCGCCGTTCTGAGTTATTTGGGATTGTTTGGTTGTGCTTCTTTACTGTGACGTTCCTTGGGGATGCTTGGTCGTGTTTCCTTACTGTGGCGTTGCCTTGGATTGGTAGGTCTTGTTTCCTTACTCCATTCCTCGGGTTGCTAGATCCTGTTTCCTGATTGCATTCCTCGGGTTGCTTGCTTCCTTACTGCATTCCCCAGGTTGCTGAGCTTTGTGGTTTACTGCGTTCCCCGGTTGCTTGGTCCTGTTTCGCAGCAGCGCCAAGCAATGCCATTCAACACCAGACAGGGGCAAGCAACGCCGAGTAATGCCAAGCAACGCCAAGCAACGTCACCAAGTAGTGCGCCCGCCCGTGAATCAGGAAATGTTCCTCTACTTGGGATCACGCCGGGCTCATTTGGGGGATATCGCTGGATACCCGGTTGAGTTGCAAGGTTGTTCTCTTCCGCATCCTTTGATATTACAGGATGTAAGGTTGTTCCTTCGAAAACCGGGGCTTTCGGTCGAAATGGCGCCCCTTGTGGAACAAAGAAGGATTCACTCGAAGGGGACGTGCGACGGAGGGGGTGTCGCAGCATCGTTGATGCATCTGTGGTTTGTTTCTGATCCTCTTCCTCCTCCTCAACGCGCAGCTTCCTGCCAGAGTACCCCTCCTCCCCCAGGCCTCGGGCGGACTGTTTTTCCACTCGCGGCGTGTTCCTAAAGTTCGGCTTCTGGGGTCCGTTTCTGAGCCATGTGGCCGTCAAGCATGGATCCGGGACGAAACAATTGCCTTCGGGGGATCGGGGCCTCATGGGGCCAGCGGGCTGAACACACAAAACATGACGTCGTATGCATGGGCCCTTTCGTCCTGCACCCTGCTACCCTTTCAATACGTGTGTTTCCTGATCGCAGGGGCCAGCCACCCTCAGGCTGTGCAATCCGCCCAGTATCCTCCTCCTCCTCCTCCTCCTCCTCCTTCTCCTCCTCCTCCTCCTCCTCCTCCTCCTCTCCCTCTTCGTCGGCGAGTTTCGAGGTTCGGGGTTCTTGTGCGTTTCTGGTCGTTTCTGAGATGCGAGGGGCGAGTTTTAGGGGCGCTTCTGTTTTTTTTGCTCCAGCTTCAGAGGCCTCCGCAGGAGGGTAGATCTCCAGAGACTTGAGGACCTCTGAGGACCCCCGTGGGTGCACCCAGCGAGGTACGAGCGCCTCCGGGTGGCGATGAACCCGCTGGAGAAGTGGGGCGGCTTCTGGATCCCCCCCGCAGCAGAGATTGGGGGACGTCAGCTGGCCGCCTCACCAGTCCTGGCCCAGCCGATCCTGGACCCAAGATCGGTGCACATGCCTCCTGGCTGGGCCAGGAGGGCAGGTGCACCGATCCTCGACCCCCCAACCCCAGCGCGCGGAGCCCGCCAAGGGTGGCGCCCGAGGCGGGTCCGACGACGACCTGAGAAATCCGCGCGGCCCTCCGAAAGGGTGTAATGTTGATGCCGCCTTGTTTTCTTCGTCCTGGGCCCCGGATGGGCCTGGCCAAGATCGGTGTGGTGGTCAGCGTCGGCTGCGCGTAAGAGTGACCCGTCTTCGGCGTGTTGTTTGGTGCAGGCCCCGCTGGGATCCCTCGATCGCTGAATGCGATGCGATAGCAGCGGCTTGCACGCTCGGATTTGGTTGCCCAGCGCCTCCTGAAGCCGCATACCCACTGTCACTTTGGCCTAGGGCCACTCTGGCATGTGCACATGGCACAGCGGTTAAGAACCACCCTGCTCTGGATGGGGCAATTATGGCCCCCCACTTGGCTCTGGTGGGGTGGTTGGGCACGTGCTGTCGGAACGGCTAGAGGGGGTTTCGAGGAAGAGGAAGAGGAGGGTGAAGGAGGAGGAGCAGGAGGGGGAAGGAGGAGGAGGAGGAGGAGGAGAAGGAGGAGGAGGAGGAGGAGG